CTTCCCAAACCAAACCCCCCCCCCCCCAATGTCACCCATGGTTATACTATTATTGAATACTAGTAGTACTGTTAAAAATTCACTGGTAACATTAAAGATAGCAAATACAGATTTAATGATAATTAAAACATGAAACAATAATACTAACCATCTGGAATTTTACTGTGGAACTTTTTTTTACTGTGGAATTTTTCATCATTTACTCGCCTGACAAAAACTTGTACAAAATACAAAAGATATCTGAAGGATATTTGTACAGAATTGAACAGAAGTTTTGTACATAATTATGAAAGTCAATTCGACCCAGTACATTAATGCCCTAAAAAGTACATAAAGGTTGAGTGAAAATCCTCTAAACTGGTGTATTTTAAGTCTTCTGAATTCACTCTCAAATCAAATATTATAATTTATCAACAATATACATACAGATACTTTGTCAAATGTCTTGTGACATGCGAGAGCCACTGAGGTTTGAGGTTAGCCAATGTTTCAGGCTTTGCTGATATAGTCTTATTTGGGTCACAATTGACTTCCATAATATGGACTGAAACAACGGATAGATTCTTCAAATATTTTCTTTTGTCTTTCACAGAAGAAAGAAAGCCATACAAGTTTAGAATTATTTGAGGGTGAAAGAATTTTCATTTTGGGGAGGGGTGAACTTAAACTTTGTTAATCAAATATTTCTATTTATATAATTTAAGTAAGCCTGCTACTAATAATTATTTTGATAGGTTAATTATTTCTTAGTTTAATTAAATTAATAAAAAAATATATGTTTTCTTATGTATGTATTGGGGGGAAAAAACATATCTTGGCCAGTGGTCTCATCCAAATTGAAGGCTGTATACAAAAAAAAAAAAGAAAAACTAAAGAAGGCATAAATATAGGCTATGCTATACATTGTGTGTGAGAAAGCTTTCAAATAAACATACATTATAATAAAAAAAAAGTTTAAAAGCAGAAGGACAAATTAATAAAAAATAAAGAAAAACAAAAGCACAAACTTCGTGTTAACTGCTAAGAGGTTAATTGTTCTGCTGGTGCACTCTCGTTCACTCCTATGACATATGTCATAATCCCATTATAGTTACTTATCTCATAAAAATGTGATTATTCATCAAGTATCATGCTAGCCAGTGTTTCCTGTTTCAACAACAAACAAGTCTGACAAAAAAGATTTATGAAACTCAAGCTCACTTTTGAATCTGACTCACTCGACGAATCAGAGCTATTACACAATTGATATTTTTCAGTGCTCTCCTACCTCTGAGTTCATATCTAAATGTCTTGTTTTTTCCTTCAGGGTAGTAAACTATGGATCATAATGGAATATCTAGGGGGAGGTTCAGCTCTGGACCTGGTAAGTCCTTTGACTTTATCTGTGAGCCTCCACAGCTACAGAATGCGGCTGATCGTGTGCCCTACACCCTCAACCTGTTTTGTGTTTATGTGTGTGTGCAGCTGAGAGCCGGACCTTTTGACGAATACCAGATAGCCACCATGCTGAAGGAGATTTTGAAAGGTTTGGACTACCTGCACTCTGAGAAGAAAATCCACAGGGACATAAAAGGTGTGTACGCAGAGCATTTGTCTCCATCTGAGGAATATTTGTGTCTGCTTGGTTGAGTGGGTGTGACGACTTTGTTTTTCCACTGCCGTTTGTTTTTCCACTTGTGTGAACTATATGCAGGGTGAGGTAGATTCCTGCTGGTTGGTCTGCAAATAGCTGCACTGATTGGTGTTGTCTTCAATAGTTTTGTATTCTTAATATTATTTTATTTTTTATTTATTTTTTATTTTTTTTGAAAGGGGTGAGGCTCAACCTTAATTTTGTCATTTTTAATGTTTTGAACAGTAGTGTATATTGTTACAAAAGATTTCAACTTGGAAAAACTCTGAATAAAGTGTCACAGGTTCCAAAAAAAATATTAAGCATCACAACTGTTTCCAACATTGATAATAAATCAGCATTAGTGGTCGACCGATATATCGGCTGATATTTGGCATTTTTTAAATATTGGCATCGGCCGATAAGTTTTCCTGTTTGGCCGATGCGTTCGAGGCGGGACTTTTATTTTGACGGCGCTGAGAGCGGCAGCGCCTGAGCACACAGTGTTCACATTCTCCCTCTTGTTCGCTGTCATCGTTAACAGTTCTGTCTAAAAACGAATAGAAGTCTGTCTAATAATCAGATAGAATGGTTAAACAAAGGAATTAAAATGTATACAAAAAGTCTTATAACGATTGCTTTTATATTATTAGTAATAGAAAGGCAAACATTATAATACTTTCTTGTTTGCCGTCAGCATTCAGCAAATACGCATTTATATCATTTAAACAAATCTTTGAAATTACTGACTGCTTACTTGTCATTTTTTTATTCAATTCAGAGTTTGAAATCAAGCTATCTCGTGCTTCTGCACCAAAATTGCCCCACTGTAAAATAAAAAAAACACTGAGTGAGCAAAAATTTGTTATTTCATTTTTCAAATGATTTAAAATTTCTTAAATATTAATTAAAATAAATAAAATTATATCGGCAATCGGCCACCCTGCTTTCCAAGATATCGGCATCGGCTTTCAAAAAACCAATATCGGTCGACCACTAATCAGCATAGACTGATTTCTGAAGGATCATGTGACGCTGAAGACTGGAGTAATGATGCTGAAAATTCAGCTTTGCATCACAGGAATAAATTACATTTTTAAAGTATATTAAAATAAAACCATTTTTAATAACTTCACAATATTACTGTTTTTCGGTATTTTTGATCAAATAAATGCAGCCTTGATGAGCATACGAATCTTCTTTAAAAGTATAAATATATAATATATCTTACTGATCTTAAACTTTTGAATGGCAGTGTATATTTTATTGTAGCTTGTAGTGTTAGTAGGTTCTTAAAGAGTGTGAACACCCTTCAAAGTAGGGCTGCAAGATAATGATAAATCGGCCAATCACGATTATTTTGCTCAAATATATATTCATGATGATTAAACAAAATTGTCTATTTTAGATTTATGTATTTATTTATTTTTTACATTTCATCAGAATTATTGCACTTTCACATAAACACAAATCAAGAGAACGTCATTTCATGGTTTGCGTGACTTGCAGATTTATTTGCAGCAAACAGCGCAAATGGCCGTGTGAAAGTAAACGGACTGGCTGTATTATACTTTAATTTGAGCTGAATATCTTAATAGAGATCACTGAACTCCAGCTTACCTGTTTGCCAGTGTTTTTAGCTCATGAGTGCTTTCTTTGTAATGTAGAGAGAGCTCTTTGAAATGAAAAGTCAAAAGAAATAATTTTATGCCCAAGACATGCAGCGCTATATATGTAAATAATTTTAAAATAATAACAAACAAATAAAACGCTTACTAAAAAAAGATTAGATATAAAATGTGACAGACATCAGAGAACCATGGCCATGCGAATGTGTGAAAGAAGACTTTTACTTCTAAACAGAATATGTAAAAGGCATGTGTTTATGTACTGCGGATGATCGCGATCAAAAGGAGCCTAAATCAGTTTTTCATTATTTGAGTAAAATTAAAGCTGCCGTGTCTGTTGGTCTCCATTGTCTCTTATTTTTACATGGTTACAGCTGCCAACGTGTTGTTGTCTGAGTCTGGGGAGGTGAAGCTGGCAGACTTCGGTGTGGCAGGACAGCTGACAGACACACAGATCAAAAGAGAGACGTTTGTAGGTACACCATTCTGGATGGCCCCGGAGGTCATCCAGCAGTCTGCCTATGACTCGAAGGTACGTCCCTCTGAATCCACTCACACCCCGTCATCTCAGCACTATGAATGTAAACGTTTTCAGAATCACACTGTTGTTTTCTTTGTAGAGCAGGCTCAAGCTCGACTTTGTTGTAATGCAAACCGTTAATTAGTAAGAAACAGCATGAACATGCAGCAGTTATTGAAGACTAAACTGTTACATGTAAACATGTGTATCTCTGTATATAAACACATCAGTCACACTTTAGTTTGGGAATCTGTTCTTGTAATGCAAACCGTTAATTAGTAAGAAACAGCATGAACATGCAGAAGACTAAACTGTTACATGTAAACACATGTGTATCTCTGTATATAAACACATCAGTCACACTTTAGTTTGGGAATCTGTTCTCACTATTAACAACAACTTTTGCCTCAAACTCCTAATTTGGAGCTTATTAATAGTTAGTAAGTTAGTTGTTAAGTTTAGGTATGGGGTGGATTAAATGATCTAAAATATGTGACCCGTGCTGGAAAAATGAGTGGGAATGCGCACGGGCTAATTTTGAGTTACAGGCAAAAAAAAAAGTGAAAAATGTCGAATTTGAGGTTTTTACAAAAATGAGTTAATTAAGCCCTCATATAGCGAATGCACATCCAAATAGTACTTAAGCTGGGGACACACTACACGACTAGCTGAAACATTCTAAGACTGACCTCAACACACTTAAAGACTGTTTCCATCGACTGGTACAGATTCTAGTCTTTGACAGTCGGAGAGGAGCACAAACCTAATGACTGAGTCGGTCCACTACACAACACACTTAACGACTGGCACGTCACGACTGGACAAATTCTGCCGAACCAAAAAAACCCGCAGTATCCGATTCTACCCGCGCTACCGCCCCAACAAAGACAACACAGCGGACAACACCGGTGCTTTCACTTTACTATTGAAACTTTAAAGGTTTGTTGTTTTTTTTTCCTTAGTTTGTGCTTAATATAACAGAAAATACAGCTTTCCTGCTATGTACAGTAGGTGCTGCTAATAAATGCCACCGCAATGTCTTGATTTTTTTTTTTTTTTTGCATTAAGTCCTATGTTTCTCTTTCTTTCTTGAATTATTGCTTGAGCAGACACATTTCGTTATGTCTTTTCAGACACTTATGTTTAATTTCCTTAATTATAACATTTCTAGTGCTATTTTTAAACGTTTAGTCAAGCAATAATATATTCATTATCCAATGTATGTCTGAAGATTTTTTTTCGTTACAGTTCCCAAATTACCGATCGGAATGGAATAAAACATTACTGCTCCATTTATTCAAACAAAAGTCATATAAAATGCTATTTGTGTGTTTACATTTTCATTATATTAGTCTACAGCAAACGCTCCCAATGGCGCTGTCAACATTGCACTCCAACAGATGACAGAAGGAACTGCAAAGAAATTCAAGCCATTGTAATTTCTTTATCCATTTGACACAAAACTACTATATATAATTAAATTGTGTATATAAAATTATTTTATTTCGTGTCATATTTGTGATTTTTTTTTTGTATGAATTTATGTAAAATTAGTTTTGAACAATAGCTATTCGTTATGTTGGTATATTCGTTATGAAAAAAATTTCATTATCAAGAATAGCTTTATGAAGTTAATTTCAAATTCTTTATAAAACATTTTAAGAAAAAATTAATTTTAATAAAAATAATTCTTGATAATATCTTTAAAATTAGATAAATAATTTAGGCTATTTTACTTTAGCTGTTCGACTGCAGAAAAAAACAAATAGTCCAAAACCATTTAACTTGCCATGTTAACTTCACAAATCACAGCAAGGTGTGTAGCTAATCAAGAAAAATATTTGACAAAATTACAAAATGAACCTTTAATAACGTTTTACAGTGAACAGCACAGCCGCATATACAATCGCTGGCGTCAGTCGCAAATATTAAACATGTTTTAAAAAATCTTTGTGAAAACAACTGGTAAAGACTGTTTTTTGAATTCTAAGATTATAATCTTTAGACACCACATGCTATGCGATTTTTCTGCCGACTGCAAACAGCGACTGAGCCCTACTGGATCAGACCCGGTCTGACTGGGCATGATCCGTCTCAAGACCAAATTACATTCATAATCGGCATGACAGTCGTGTAGTGCAGGGGTTTTCAACCTGTGGGGCGCGCCCCCCCAGGGGAGTGCCATCACCTGTCAAGGGGGGCGCGAGCATCAGTTAATTCAGAGACGTTCCCTTGAGAATTTATGAATATGAGTTAACAAATCTTTACGCTTATTGACAGTGTAAGATGATTTACGATTAGCCGTGCCGGAAATCCAACCACGGATTGACATGTTGTTATCTCAGAAACAGAGATATCTCAGATGGCTCAGCCATCACACTGAATCAGGTAAACTGAATAAAGTTTTTCATTCTCACGTGTTTTAAGTCTTGTCAGTTTAAACATTAAAGTAATTTTAAGCCATTTAAGCCCAAGACATCTCAATGCGGTGCTCACGCACTATGATAGAGCGTTTCTATGCGCACCGCTCACACACCTGAAGTGCACAAAGCTGTTTTTAGACTAACGAGAAAGTTACAGGATGTTTTTATAGTACAATGACCTCTTAAATGTCAAAATATCAAGGGAATTTTGGGTTTCTCAGTTCATGACCCCTTTAAACATCTAAAATGATTTTTAGTTGTATGTTTTCTGAGAGGCGTACCTTTTTCTCTTCTCGCTTTTTGACGTCTGCTGCTTCCCCTCAGCAAAAGTTCGGTATAGTTGTAAAACGCAGCATCCAGCTTTGTGAATATTCATAGTGAATTCTCAATGGCATGAGTCTGAACCAGTGAAATGTGATGTTCAAAACCATGCTGATGCGCATAAAGACCCGTCTCTCAAACGGATACATTCATATAAACCCCCAATTCAGCATTTTTATGATTTTCTAACAATATTTTGCACGTCGTGAACAGTGTGTTTGCTCTGCCTGCTACAGTATTTTTCCTCTTTATGTCCGTCTTCAGCGTCTCTGGCCTCTGTTAACAGCCTTTTACACACTTCGTAATATTTTTCTCACAAATGACATTTTAGAAAATGATTGCAGTGCAGTTTGTGTGCAAGCCCGGAACAGAGTTTGGTTGAAATAAAACAAAAAATGGCCAGTTGACCAGTGCATCTGTACTCCACTGTATAAATTAAATATAGTTGTTGTTATAAATAAAAAACAAACAATCCAGCACATCTGAATTACAATTTTGCATAAATCTGTGAAGTCGTGAATGCTTATATTTGCCAGTAATTTACTCTTGAGTGGTGTGATATTGTGCTTTGTGGGATGAGCAAATGTTTAGTAGAGTAGAGATGCACAGCATGTGATTTTGTGTGTCGCATTTAAAAGATCAGCCTGAATTTAAACAGAATCTGCCAATCACCGATCACAAGATTATCAGCCAACAAAGATTAGAGGCTGATCGATCAGTGCCAGACCTGTATGAATTTCTTTGTTCTGTTGAACATAGAAGATATTTTGAGGAATGCTGGTAACCAAACAATTTTTGGTCCCCATTGACTTCCATAGTAATTTTTTCCATGCTATGCAAATCAGTGGCTACCGTCAACTGTTTGTTTACTAACATTCTTCAAAATATCTTTTATAGAGGATATTTACTTATTTATAAAGGCAGTGATGTAGAATCGGTGGGCGGGGTTAAACAATTTTTTCCATGCTATGCAAATCAGTGGCTACCGTCAACTGTTTGTTTACTAACATTCTTCAAAATATCTTTTATGTTCAACGGAGGAAAGAAACTTATACAGGTTTGGGACAACTTGAGAGTGAGTAAATAACGGGATTTTAATTTTTGAGGGAACTATCCCTTTATACGTCGCTGTTTCTGTCAATGTTTTCAGCCCTTCAAAACTATTTCGGCTGAAACTGAAAATTGCTGTTTTATCAGAAAATTTTGGTTGCTGAAATTTCACAAAACTAAACAAATGTCTTGCTCTTTTTGGTTTATTCTCAAAATAATTGTATCATGGCAAGCTCAAAATGTGTTCAGCTTTGTGAAGTTGTTTGTTTTGCTCTCAGGCTGATATTTGGTCTCTTGGGATCACTGCCATTGAGTTGGCCAAGGGCGAGCCCCCAAACTCAGACATGCACCCCATGAGAGTGCTCTTCCACATCCCCAAGAACACCCCACCCACCCTCAACGGAGACTTCTCCAAGACTTTCAGAGAGTTTGTGGACTCCTGTCTCAACAAAGACCCTGGATTTGTAAGCACAGTTTGCAAGCATTCCTTTCTCATATATGTGTTGCACTTATACTGGAGTTGTCACAAAAGCTTTGATATATGGGGACAAAAAGGGCCCTGTATGAGCTAATTAATATAGTTATGCAGCATCACACAAGCAAGTGTACTGTTTTTCCAGAATATTGTCAATATTGTGTATTTTTGCTCTGTCGCCAATGAAAATGTTCTAAACGAAGCCACAACTGAACCGTTATGCATCTCTGAGCAACATGCAGTGTTGGATCAACGATTCAGTGAATCATTCTTTAAGACATTCACTTGTTTCGTTCCTGAATGTATCATTGCATTCAAAAAAATAGTATTATTTGTACAATTGTAATTGCTATATACATACATCTAAATTGATTTTGTTGATGCTGATTTCATTCAATTGGTAACAGCCTATAGTGTATTATTCTGATTGAATTGGATTTAATGTAAGAATATGTATGCTTTGAATAGGGAAAGACAGAATGCTTCTATTTAGGTAAAATGCCCATGGAAATAAATTTAAGGTGGTAAATGTATATTATAATGTGCATTAAGTGTAGTTTGCATTCTCTGTGTGAACGGCAGAGCTTGGTTGGTATAATACTGTCAGTGAGTGCCACATCTGAGCCGCTCTGGTCGTTTCACAAGTGACTTTCACATGTAAGAGTATTTAGTACTGTGCCTTTCTGAAAAGTATTTTGAGGCATGGGTACCATGGGTAATACTACTGGTGCACTGCTATACTGTGCAGCACTAACTTGTACTGATGTGTTTAAAAAGTGATAAAGGTAATAAAATGTCACTATTTCATTTTCTCAGAGGCCAACAGCAAAGGAACTCCTGAAGCACAAATTCATCGTTAAATATGCCAAGAAGACCTCCTACCTCACCGAGCTCATTGACCGGCTGAAGCGCTGGAAAGCCGAGGGTCACAGCGATGGAGAATCGAGTTCTGACTCTGACTCGTAAGCATGCGGCGAACACACATGCATTTACCCTAAATTATCATTAACAGAGGCTTGAGTTGACAAATCAGTATACATTTCAGGAGAAACCCTTCCATTGCACCAGTTTGCTTTTCTGGAAACAAAACACATACTGCTTTCTAAAAAGTGTTTGAACAGGAATTCTGTTCCTAACCAGCTTGAGTTAACATTTAAAGGGCTAATTCACATCAATTTTACTGTGGAATACAAAAGGCAGATGTTGAAGAATGTTAAAGGGGTCATACGATGCGATTTCAAGTTTTCCTTTCTCTTTGGAGTGTTGCAAGCTGTTTCAAGACCCCCTTTCTGTTAAGCATGTCTTATTGCACTGTCAATGCATGTAGATGATAGTTGTATTGAGGAAGATCTCTAAACAAAAATGAAAATGTGTTGTTGAAAATGTACTTGACCTCAGGCCATCCAAGATGTAGAGTTTGTTTCTTCATCAAATTTAGAGAAATTTATCATTGCATCAGTGTCTCAGCAATGGATGCTCTGCAGTGAATGGGTTAGGCTGCTGTCACTTTAAGACCGAATGCACAGATCTAATATACTGATACACGTGTTTTCTTTCCCAACTGTTTGTGTTCACTTGAGACATAAATGACTGTGTTTATAGACGGGCATTTTGATACATAAGTGTGTGTGTGTGTGTGTGTGTGTGTGTGTGTGTGTGTGTGTGTAAGACCGTTCAAGCCCAATAAGGCGCCAGTTCAGAGCTCAGTCTGGTACTCACACGGTATGTGAGATGCGGCTTTATCTGCACAAATCTGGCCAGTAACGCCGCCTGCTTGACTGATGAACAATGCTGATGATTTCAGCATCAGATACCTGTGTGGTTTATCAGTCGTCCATGATCAGATCTTTCTCCTCATCTTTCCTCTGTAGGTTCTCTATGAGTTAGTGCTACATTGGGTCGCTGGGAACACACCACCCTTCTGCTGTCAGGCCTGATGACTGCACCTTAACACACTCACACATGTACAGAGACGGGAGGGACGCGGGGGCGCGCGCACACTATCTTATCATAACCAAAAGGAATTCTTCTTTTTTGTTGTCCCAAAGAATGGAAATATATATATAAATATAGTGTGCGTTCAACTGTATTTATACAATTTTGCCACATGCTTTTATATTAGTCTTCTGCTGGTGCCCAAGGATGTGTGTTACTGTTATTTTATTCCACATTTTACTTTGAAAGTCACAAAATATCCTTACCGGTTAAGTACATCTGCTCTAGAGAGCATTAGGTAAATCTTTTGATTCACGTATATTTATATGTATTTGATGTCCCAATCCATTACTTTATTTTAAACTATGATCAATAATATATACGTTTGTGAGATTAACAGTGTCTTTTTGTTCGTCTTGGTTTGGGATTTCTTTGTTTCTCGACACACACTGTTAACTAGCATTACAGAACTGCTGTATGGGATTACATGCATATCATATCAGTCAAAATTAATAGAAATACCTCATTTAAGCAATCAAAAAAAGAAAAACAGCTGGTTAATGAAGATCGATACAATTTAAACTGCTAGGAAAATAAGAGGAAATTTGCTGTGCAAAAGCTACCTCCACTTCTGGCCCATTACAATAGGAAATTTCATTTTTACTTTTTTTTTTTTTTATTGGCAAGGTAATTAAATTTCTAGACCTTTGTGTTTGCCCTTGATTTCTCAGCAACGCCCTCTTTTTACAGTCTTGTTTTTGAGCTAATATTTTTATACAAGAATAGAATTATACTGTATTTTTGAAGGAAATATGCACTTGCGCACACTTTGTACGGGGTGGGCCTGTTTTGTGTTGTAATTTCAGAGCTCTCTTGCTCCAAAGACATTCCACTTACTTTGAGTAGATCTCAAGGCAGCCTGCTTCTGTAACCAATGGGGGAATTTCTACACGCAAACTGATGCATTTAAACTACCCGAAATGACAGCAAGTGATTCGAGTCCATGCTAGGCAGCAGTATAGAATTCAAGCTCAATGCAAACTTCCTGTGATGAGGGATTTCTTTTCTTTTTTGCCAAGAGGGTGCCATTGCTGGTGCGGTGGTCATATGTCATATTTGCTCCTGTTGGTTTGGAGAGACTGTGCCAACGTTGCATCCCATTGTGCCTAAAGCTCACTTTTTTTAATGTATATGATGTTATTGTCTTTTCAAACCGCTTTAAAACGAAGTTTTCACACATGTTGCCAGACTGCTGGAAGATTTTAGAGCAATAAAGGTGTTTAGTGGATTTGTATATTTCTTTATAGCAATGTAGATGCAGAAGCTAGGTTTTGTACATTTCTTCACCAGAGCTTTTGTAAATTTAAGACGCCAGACAGAAATCTTTCTAGGTTGTATCATATAGATGCTGTTCTCTTCATTTTTGGACTGTAACTGTTACAGATACATTTTTGTTTGGTGTGGCAAATAAAGATTTAAGTTATGTCATTTCAGTGTGACTATTTTGTTTTTAAACCGCTTGATAAAGGTCCAGACTTATTGCACGTCTTAGCGGCCGTTCACTCAGAACGCATCTTTGCATCTAAAAACGTGAGATGCAGTGCTCAGGAGTGTTTTTTTTTTTTTTTAAAGAAAAGGCCAGCACAAAACGCGAGGGTCTCGACACAGTTTTGAGACGTGATGAAATAACAGAAATAACAATGACGCACTTATACACTATTAATGCACTATGTACTCAATCATGTAGTGTATGTGATTAAAGCTGCGACAGTTGAGTGCATGAAGTGCATTAAAGTTTAAATTCTTTAAACTTGACATGGCGTCTTAAAAACGCGGCGATGCAAAAGACACGAGCGCAACGGTCATACATGTTCGTCTAGTGCAAGGGTGTCAAACTCAATTCCTGGAGGACCGGGGCTCTGCAGAGTTTTGTTCCAACCCTGCTCCAACACACATACCATGTAGTTTTCATATAAGCCTGAAGGACTTGATTAGCTGGATCAGGTGTGTTTAATTAGGGTTAAAGCTAAACTCTGCAGGGCTCCGGCCCTCCAGGAATTGAGTTTGACAGCCCTGGTCTACTGCATGTTTACATAGAAAAACAATGGAAAAGTAGCGCATTGGAAAAAACGCATTCTGTGTGAACGGCCCCTTGTTGACATTATGAAAAAAACTATTAAATCACACAGTATGTCCAAAAGAATATAGGCTACCCATGTTTTTATGCTGCAAACACGCAGAGTTGTAACTGGTGAATCGACAAGAAGATAATGCATTATAAAGATCTAAACAATTAAGACAGTAAAATATATTTAATTAATATAATGCTTGATAATTGTTTAAATTAATATAATAATTGATACTTTTATCATCATTTTAGAAGACTTTTTGTTTTTGTGAAAGCCTGTGTCTGAACTGTAAATCAGTCATTTTACAGTTTAATATGTTACCAGACATTGCCCTCCCCCACTCAAATGGTATCAATTTTATTTGTGCAGGTCTTAAGAAGTCTTAAATTTGAGCTTAAAAATCCTGCAGATACCCTGTGCATGGTTGTGGTCTTTCTAGCAAACATACAGTTGCGCTACAGGACATACATCTCCGACGCACTGACATTTTGTGTATTTTTCATAATTAAATCAGCACAATGGTGGACTTAACCCTATAAAGACTACTGTTTGATACGCAAATTTCTAAGGCCTCTAAATGATCAAAACTTTGCTGATAATCTTGTTGTTCACAGTCTTCTACCTGCCTTCTGTCATTTGATTGATAGTTTAGACTTCTTAGCAAATAAAAGACCTTTTAGTATAATTATACAAACATCCACCTTCAGCTCATAATTATACAAACATCCACCTTCAGCTCATGCTTCATGTGTCTTTTTGCTGTGATATCTTTACTGATTTTTATAAAGTAAACATAAGAATAACTTTGATATTGTTAGTAATATTTCAAGATGAGCACTTACTGGACTCCAGACATCATTTTTTTAGAAAAATCAGTAAGTCTCAAATCTGATCATCAGGCTTTTGAGGAACGTTTATTTTTTGTTCATCTCTCAATCATTATTGGATTGCATTGCATTATATGTTTTGATCATCAAACTAAGCATTAAATATCATCTTACTAAGACATGTTATTGGAGATATAGAGTGACTGCTGATATTTATATAAATTTATGTCAGAATTTCATCACCTTTTGGTCATATTCACTACTGTGCAAAAGTCTTAGGCCATTAGTATTTTCACCAACAAAAAAATGGTTTTAAGTTATTTCTATCTTTTGCTGTAATGTGTCAGTAGGAAATATCAGTTTACATTTCCAAACATTCCTTTTGCCATTAATTGTAATGCAGTGAGATTTTTGTAACCGTTCCATTTTTTTTAAATATTAGATTTTTCAGACTATTATTTCATTGCGGTTATGATGCTTTTGGCTATTGAATGAGTTTACGGTTTTATTCTCAGGACTTGTGTTTGGCTTTAACAGCTGTCGCAGATGATGTGCCTTCATTACTAAACGAACGCTCCTCCTCTTCATCCAGCTGTAAGCTTCCGGAGGAAATGCGCATGCGCGCCAGAGGCATGGAGCGCACCAGTTTGCTGATCCCGGGACAGTAGAACGAACACATCACGTCCGGATCCGAGTCGCTGTGGCTCAGTTCTGACCTGCTGCCGTCTGTCGGTCATGCTGAATGCAGCGGCAGGTATGTCGGCCGCGTGAGGCCTTCCCGTCGAGACAGGTGAGGATAGTGACCCAGCGGGCGAAACTCTGCCGGCTGACACAACAGCTTGACGTCGGACTGGCTGTATGACCGGCGAGGAAGTCCCGTTTGGTAGCTACAGTCATCACTGAAGTGGCCTAACTCTTCCTGATCTCGGTCTCCAAAGCTTCCCACGACGTAAAACCCAGGTGCTGCTCCGAGCACCGGAGGCCATCCTATCCCGGCGTATCCGGAGAAGCTCGAAGAGCGCAAGGCGTCGTCCAGGAAGCATGCTGTCGCCGGCAGCATCTCATGAGCCATGTG